ATAGAATAGAATAGAATAGAATAGAATAGAATAGAATTCTTTATTGGCCAAGTGTGATTGGACACACACAAGGAATTTGTCTTGGTGCCCCTCAGTGTACATAAAAGAAAAGAGACATTAATCAAGAATCATAAGGCACAACACTTAGTAAGGCCCAGACTGACTCCCCTTCAGACAGTAAGAATGAACTTTGGAAAACTGGGTATTTCCAAAAAGGAATTCTTTATTGAAAAGGAAGATACCCAGGCGGTGTTCAAAGCCGCGAGTCTGATAGGCCTCCAGGCGTGCAGCTTCGATAAAGGCAGTTAGAACCCCTCCCCTTTGTCCGGTGTGGATTTCGTCAATAGAAAGAAGCAACACGTTAATTCTCCCCACCCTTTCTTTTTCCCCCCCTTGGGAAAGCAGTTGAGAAGAGCTTCCCAGGAAGTCGCCTTTGGAATTTCTGGAAATTTTATGGCCCCATCTTCTCTTCTTGCTCTCTCTCCAAGAGGTGACAATTTTCCAAAGCATCTGGGCTCCAGTCCCCAGTTGTATCTCACGCGCAAGTTAATACAGACTCAATACAAGAATTAAGATAAGTCAAGTTACATCAAAAAGGATGACTTGTATCAACCCCCCCCCCTCCCTTTCTCCTCCCATTGAAGAATGGCAGATACACTTGGCAGATACATCAGTGCTTTTTCGCCCCCACTTCTTTTTCACTTCTGCATTTTTCTGTCTTCCCCTTTTCCTCTCCTCTCCCTTTTTCATTTTTCTTTATATTCTTTTACGTTACGTTTTGATAAATTAACCAAATTTTGAACATTTAAAAAAGGACAAACAAGAGAAAGGTGGAAAGAGAGAGAGACACAGAGAGAGAGAACCCCTTGATAAAGATTATCCTTGGGTGGGGGGCAGAAGGGGAGGGAAGTTTTGGTTTTCAGGCCAGATGTCAAGAAGCTAACGCAGGCAATCCTCGAGATACAACCATAAAACAAACTGTATGCCGGTGGTCAGCAGGTGAAATGTCTCACTTAATGTTTGCTCTCTCCAGTGAATCATTCAATGAACGTGTGGGTTGTTAAGTGGCTCAGGTCTGGGGGAGACCTTTGGAGGTCTAAGACAGGCCCAGGTCTACCTGTCCAAGGCCGCCCCCATAATATGCCTCGTGCGTCACTTCCTGCCTTAGGGGTCCCCAGAGACCTTTTAACCATTCCTACTGGGAGCGGGACGCCCCCTCCCCAAGCCTTAGGTCTGATTCCCACCCTACCCACCAGGCCAAACACCTTCCTCCTCTGCCTCACTTACCTTTGGAAGAGCTCTGCAGCCTTCTAGAGCAAGAATGGGCAACTAGGACCAGTTAAGGACCTGTGGACTTCAACAACTCCCAGAATTCCTGAGCCAACCAGCTTCTGACAAGCAAAATCAAAAAGGGATGCCTTATTCACTTAATAAATACGTGATCCACTTAACAGCTGCAGTGATTCACTTAACAGCCATGACAAAAAGGGGGCAGCTCACTCAACAATTGACTTGCTTAGCAACAAAAATTGTAGTCATATGTCAAAGCACTACGCAATCTAAAACCATCTCTATCTATTGGACCGGACGGAATATGTGCCTACTTCTTAAAAAAGCCACCCACTGCCATAGCTGAACCTCTAAGCATAATCTTCGAAAAATCTTTCAGGACCAGCTCCTCCAACTATGGTCACAAGCCACGGTCATCCCCATCTTCAAAAAGGGAGACCCCAGCCTAGTTGAAAATTACAGACCAAACTCTTTATGCTGTGTCACCTGTAAAGTCACGGAATCAATTATTAACCAATCCATTATTCTCCACTTAGAGACAAACAACCTACTCTCTAATAAACAATTTTGTTTCAGAAAAAACTATCCTGCAACCTGCAACTCTTACACTGCAAAAACATAGGGACTACACAACTCGATCAGGGAAAAGCAATAGACGCAATCTACATAGACTTCTGTAAAGCCTTTGATTCAGTGGTACACGACAAACTACTCCTAAAATTAAAATCTTATGGTATCTCTGGACACCTGCATAACTGGATAGAAGCATTCCTGTCAAACAGACAACAAATGGTCAAAATTGGGAGCATCCTATCAAATTCTGTACCTGTCAACAGTGGTGTCCCCCAAGGCAGTGTTGTAGGACCAACTCTCTTCATACTCTACATAAATGACCTCTGGTCATATTAAGAGCAAGTGCGTCCTCTTCGCTGATGATGTAAAGCTATTCAACACCACAGACAATACTGCTACCCTTCAAAAAGGGTAGTCAAACAAATGGCAACTTCAAATCTCAACAAATAAATGCTCTGTCTTACATATTAGCAAAAAAAATATCAGAAAATAAAATACAAGCTGAATAGTCAAGATCTTGTTGATGATCACAAGCTCTGTAAAAGATCTTGGAGCACGCATCTCTAATGATCTAAGTGCTAGAGCCCACTGTAACTACATAGCCAAAAAGGCATTAAGAGTTGTTAACCTAATCCTACGTAGCTTTTTCTCTGGTAACATCACACTACTAACTAGAGCATACAAAACATTTGCTAGACCAATACTCGAATACAGCTCATCAGTCTGGAACCCACATTACGTATCTGATACTAACACAGGTGAGAAAGTCCAGAAATATTTCACAAAAAGAGTTCTCCACTCCTCTACTCGTTGCAGAATACCTTATGCCACCAGACTCAAAATTCCAGACCTAGAAAACCTTCCGTCTGATCTAAGTATGGTATATAAAATCATACATTGCAATGACTTACCTGTCAATGAATACTTCAGCTTCAACCATAACAACACAAGAGCACACAATAGGTACAAACTCAAGGTTAACCGCACCAAACTTGATTGCAGGAACTTCAGCAACAGAGCGGTCAATGTATGGAATACTCTACCTGACTCTGGTTTCTTCCCCAAACCCCAAAAACTTTAACCTTAGACTGTCTACTATTGACCTCACCCCTTTCTTAAGAGGTCTGTAGGGGGCGTGCATAAGCGCACCAACGTCCCTACCATCCCTGTCCTATTGTTTCTTTTATTTTTCTTATCGGTACCCATTTCATGTATTCATAACTATGTATATGCTTATACCTATTATCTTGTAAGCGATTGACAAATCAAATAAATAAATGTCAGGGAGTATCTATTGCATGTCCTTGTGTTCAGGACCCTGGAGAGTTCCAGGCAAGAAAAGGAAAGGGCGGGTTATTCTTTGCCAGGAAACCGGTCACCTTCAGGACCTTGGAGAGCTCCAGAGGAGAAGCTGAAGTGTTGAGTTACCTCTGGTGGCCCCAGCCAATTAATTGGTTTTCCCAGTCCAGGGGATCCTTTATTTGCACCCTACTTGATAGCTGCTCTTTTTCCTCAGATTCCTTTCTGGGTTAATGTAGGTGAGTCTTTGAATCTGAATGTGCAGTTTTATTTTCCTTCCTTCCTTCCTTCCTTGGCTCCCTCCCTTCTTTCTTTCTCTACCCTCCCTTCTTTCTCCTTCCTCCTCTGTCTCTGTTACTCCTTCCCTCATTTCCTCACCTTCCTTCCCTCCCTCCTCTCTTCTTTCCCCTCCTTCCTTCCTTTCTCTCTTTCCTCCCTCCCTTACCTCTCCTTTTTCTCCTTCCTTTCCTTTCTCCCAGTTTCCCTTCCTTACTGCCTCCCTTCATTCTCCCCTCCCTCCCTCCCTCCTTCCTTCCTTCCTTCCTTCCTTCCTTCCTTCTTTCTTTCCTCCCTTTCTTTTACAAATAACTCAAGCTAGTGAACATAAGCAATACTCTTTCTTCCACCCATTTTTTCCTCCAACCACAATCCTGTAAGGTGAGTTGGGTTGAGATTTCTATGAATCATTTCAATGAAGTTATTTGATGTTATAATCTGTAGTTCAATGTCTCCTGAAGCCTTTTGGGGTTCTTTCAACTCCTGATTTGGAGGACAAATGAACTGGCGAATGGAGAACACTAGGTTGAGGTATTGATGGATCGATCGATCGATTGATTGATTATCTGCCATCAAGGCATTCCCAACTCCTAACAACACATAGTTGGATCGTTCTCCATGACAATCCATCTCTAACTTGTCCTTCCTGGACAAAATAGGTTGAGTTATTGGATAGAGCTCATTGTGCCAGACAGTAAATAATGAAGTTCACGTTGATAGAATAGAATAGAACACAACACAACATAACACAACAACAGAGCAGAATTCTTTATTGGCCAAGTGTGATTGGACATCCAAGGAAATTGTCTTTGGTGCATATTCCTCTCATAAAGGAATATAAAATATATTCATCAAGAATCTTAAGATACAACACTTAGTGATAGTCATAGGTTACTAATAAGCAATCAAATCATACTAGGAAACAAAACAGTATAAATTGTAAAGATACAGGCAACAGGGTTATAGTCATAAGTGGGAAGAGATCGGTACTAGGAAGGATGAGAGGAATAATAGCAGACTTAGTAAATAGTTGCAAAGTGTTGAGGGAATTATTTGTTTAGCAGAGTGATGGCGTTAGGGAAAAAACTGTCCTTATGTCTAGTTGTTCTGGTGTGCGGTGCCCTACAGTGTCGTTTTGAGGGTAGGAGTTGAAACAATTTATAATAATCCTTTCAAATGATAAAATAAGATCATAAAATATTTAAAAAATTAAGAATAAATACACGAACAATAAGTCATCTTGTGTTCCAGGATTGAAGCTTAGCTGAGACAACTCCGTTCTTTCCCTGTTGAGAAATTCTTGATTTATCCTTTTAGTATTCAACGGCCGAGGAAGAGGAGGGAGGTAATATTCTAGGAAGAACAGAAGAAATTTTTGGGCAGAAGGAAAAGTTGAGAAAACCTCCAGGAATCTGGGCTCAGAAAGAACATCCCATCAATTCAGGGCAGAGTAAGGATTTTTTTTTGTACGTGTGTGAGTGCAATATTAACTCATCCTGCCTTAATTGCAGGTAGTCCTCAATTTACGACCTTTTGTTTAGCAACCACTTGAAATTACAACAGCGCTGAAAAAAAAGTGGCTGAAGTCCATTTTTCACACTCGACGACCATTGCCGCATCCACAAGGTCACGTGATCAAAAATCATCCACTTGGCAACTGGCCCATATTTACGACGGTCGCAGCGTCATCTGATCCCCGTTTTGCGACTTTCTGATCAGCAAAGTCCGCGGGGAAGCCCGATTCGCTTAAAAACCATGTTTCTAACCGAACGCCTGTGGTGATTCACTTAACAACAGTGGCCAGAAAGGTCCACAGACCTTTAAGGAGCAGAACTCCCTTAACAATTGTCTCGCTTAGCAAAGGAAATAACGGCTCAATTATGGTCGTAAGTTGAGCGCTACCTGGGCTTAGAAAAATTCAGGTCACTTCCGTGAGTGATGGAGGATTTTTTTTAAAAAAAAAAAAACAATCTAAGATTCTCCAAAAATAAGTTTAATCGCTTGGTTTTTCTGGTGTAGCATTGATGACCGTAGGGGGGAAAGTGGAATTTGGAGTCCTTGCCGCTCTCTGAGCTTGGCTGCTTTCTTGCAGATGTTTCATTACCAAGCTAGGTCACATCATCAGTGGTAGAAGGGAGTTGTCAGGGTTCCGACAGATGCCCCAATTAAACCATGAGCCTGGAGCCGAGTTTCTAAAAAACCCAGTTATTTATTAGGAGCAACGTGTCAGGCACAGACCCAAATGAAGTCAGCTCTGCCTCACGTAATTTACGATCCACTTATGACCCTGTTTTCCCTCCCCCCCACCCCAGGTTATGTCATAAATCATATTCTCCAACGGAGCACTTTCAAAGTGCTGTAGAAATCACGCCTCTCCAGTTGGTCCCGGTAGCCTGGGATACAGCCTTGAAGAAGGTATGCGTGGAATGTGCATCTGGTTGTGGCTGCTGGGTTGTTCCATCAGTTTCCTCCCCCCTTCCACTTTCCTATGGCAACTCAAGACCAGGCCAGGAATGCTTTACGAGTTGTCAGGAGAAGGGTTTGAGTAGAGGAGGAGGAGGAGGAGATGGACTGAAGAAAAAGGATTGTGGGGTCCTTGGATCACTTTGAGCTTGGTGGTTTTCTTGCCGGCGTTTCATTACCAAGTTAGGTAATATCATCAGTGCTAGAAGGGAGAAGAGTTTGAGAGGAGGAAGAACTGTGGGTTCTTTGGTTCCAACAGTCGTCGTCCTCCTCTTCCTCTCTTCAACCCCCTCTTCCTTTTAGCACTGATAATATTTGTTAGGAATAACAAGGTCACCTAACGTAGTTTGGGTAAAATAATATATATAAACTATCATTGTAAGTTTAAGTGTGTGTCACTTTAAAACTGCAAAGCATGTAATTTTGGGTGTGGTGTGAAACCACCATAAAAGGGAGCAAGAGACGCTGACGGTTTGCTGGCAATTACTGACAATTACTGGATTGGATTATGTTGATGGTTTGTTAGCTGCGTCTTTCCCCTACTGAAGAATTGCTGAAGGAAGAGAGGAGTTTTTTGAGTTCTTCATATATCTTTCTACTGCGAGGAGATATATCACCGGACTGATATTTGTAAGTGTACTGACCTCTCTTTTTCGACCTGGAATTTGCAACTGAATAATCCCTGGACGGACTGAACTAAGTGAATGATATATGGACTGTTTTGACTATGCTTTAACTCTTGCTGGAATAAAACTATTTCATTAGCACTACGTATCTGTTTTACTGAGTGTAAGCTACAAAAACATTCATCTCACATATATTTTGCCTGCCTGCCTGACTGCCCTGCAGATCCTGCTAGGGTGTATCCCTAATATTGCCTAACTGGGTCATGAAACGTCTGCAAGAAAACAACCAAGGTCAGAGCACCACACAATCCTCCTCTTCCTCTCCTCCTCCTCCTCTCCACAAACCCCATTCCCTTCTAGCACTGATGATGATTTCTAGTTGGGTCATGAAAAGTCTGCAAAAAAACAACCACCAAAGATCCCCTTTGTCAACCCTGAGCTACAAATATTCTCCTTTATTAGAGAGACAATGTAGGCTCAGGTATCTAACATGGCATTAATATTCACGGTCGCTCGTAAGTATTTCAGCATCCTTGGGGACTTCCGAATGCAATTATTAAAGGGGGGAGGAACCCCGCTCTCTTTAAAAAGATCGTGCGGAAGACGGAGAGGCCTCTTAGAAATAAAATAAATGCCTTTTTTTCCCCTTTTTTTGGAGGTGTCTTTATTTCAAGTTCTCTGAGCATGTTCCTACTTATATTCCGTAGGACGAGAGTGTTCCTTTGGGACAGGCACGCAATATATCCATGACAACCTGCCAAGGAGAGATCTATTTACTTCTCTAAACGGGTAGGAATTTTTTATTTAATGTTTAGGGAGCCCTTCGGATGAAATCACTCTTTTTAACATGGACTGGGGTTATTTTAACAGCTTGTTTCGCTTCTGTTTTTTTTTTTTTTGTCTTCGGTTACCAAAGCTTTTGTTTGTTGCAGAATTATTTCACAGTCACTTTGGGTACCGTTTCATGAAGACAGAGAGCATCAATGTTCTGAATAAAAAAAGTCTTCCTAGCAATAAATAAATAGATGAAATTCCAAACAGTATTACTAACAGCGTCTTCCTAACACTAAATAAATAGATGAAATTCCAATGTCTTCCCGTAATCCCTTGAATAGGGGCAACTGAATGGGGTTGAGCTGAGTATTTACTGGCCAGATGCCTTTCCTGTCACCGCTGTGGAGTTTTGTTCAGCAAATATATTCCCATCGTGCCCAGAGAGAGAAATATCTGCCTCTATCTAGGCTCGAACCCACAGCCTCCTGGTTGTGAAGCGAGAGCTCCAGCTCTAGGCTACCACACCATTCTCTGTGTAACTAACTCTCTGTGTAACTAACTCTCTGTGTTACTAACTCTCTGTGTTAACCGTGTTACTGACAGTGCCTCTGAATTACTTCTTTCCCACGTCAGCAGCATATATTTTTGAAAACCAAAATGGAAATAGCCCTCAACTTAATAACCATTAGTTTAGTGACCGTTCGAAGTTCCAAAAGAATGTGATTTAGGGAAGTTTTTTCACATTTATGACCATGGCAGCATCTCTGTGGTCAAGTGATTTACATTTGGATGATGACTGACTGGGTGGGGAGGGGAGGGGTGGGTGGAGAGGGGCGGGGCCGGCCAGGGGCACGATTTGCCAGTTCTCCGAACTGCGCAGAATCATAACAACCAGTTCTATACAACCAGTACGAACCGGTAGAATCTCCACCCCTGGAAAGGGCTGTCAATTGTAGACTGTAGATTAAATGGACCTGGGGTCGCCAACCCATTGGATCTCAGGGACCACCAAACTCATACTTTTAAATCGTGGGGACCACTAATGTGAATTTTGACTGATGGTGGTTTGCTGCTGTTGGTGGGAGAGAGAGAAAGATCTGATTTAACCTCCCTCTCTCCCTCTCTCTCTCTCTTTCATACACACACGCGCGCACACACACACACACACACACACACAGGCAGGGGTGGGATTCAGATTTCTTGGGCGTGGCCTAATTTGTGTGTGTGGCTTGGTCATGTGACTGGCTGGGCATGGTTTGTATGTAAATATTATAAATATTTATGTAAATATTGAATTTTTTTTTTTAATAAAAAAGAGCAACTTTTACCCAAAATCAGGCAAAGGCAGGCAGGCAGATTGAGTTGCTCACAGAATCACAGGTTCACTTAGAGATCTGTGTTTCTGCCATCAGCTATCTGAGTCTGCAACTGAACAATAGAACCTAAGGGACGGAAGGTAGATAGTTCAGCTGGGTATATGTGAAATTATCCAAATGTGAATTTCACTGTGCCCAGCTGGACTACCTACCCTCTCAGGGGAGGGGATTGAAATGGACCCGAAAAAAGGTGAAAGCCATATTGGACTGGCAAACCCCTGCAATGCACGAACAGCTACAGAGTTTTGGGGGGTTTGAGTTTTGGGGGGTTTGCTGAGACTGCATTTACAGCCATGTGCATCGTCTCACCTTCTGATTGTGTGTCATGCCCCTGTTGGAATCTGATTCTGAGGGGGAGATTGAGCAGTTAACAGGGAGTGGGAGTACGGCTCCGGTGGCTGTGGAGGAAACTGGGGAAGGGCACTGTCCGGCTGAGCATTCAGAGGAAGACCCAGGGCCACCCCCTCTTCATCCTAGGGCACGCAGGGAGAAATGGAGAAGGGAGCAACATGGTTTATGGGGGAGGAAAGGGCCCTGATCCCCTTCATGGGCTGCAGCTGGGAAGACTGTTTAAAAGGGCAAACTGCACATGGCCAAGTTGTTGGAAGCAAAGCGTGCATTATCTTTGTCAAGGCTTATCTGGGTTTTGGCATCCTCCCAACTGTGTGTGCCTCATTATCTTTTGGAAGTCTGCAAGTTAAAATTATCCTGGTTTGTTGTGCTAATTCCTTCAGCGTGGTTTGAGTTGGGTTTTTTTTATTTCTACTTTATTTGTATTTTGGGTTTGGACTGCATTTCTTCCCTTTGTAGACTGTTTTTGGAAGGGTTTGATCTCCCGACGAGGATAACTGAATATTATGGGCCAAGTTGGGCGCATTAAAGGGAATTTATTTACTTTCGTAACTTTGTTATTTTTGTGCCATGCTCCGGATCATCACACCATGACTTACAACATTTTCTTTGGGAGAGGGGGCTTGGAACCTAATGTGGTTTCTAGCAAAAACCGCTCTTGTGGGTAAGGGATCCACGGAACGACGGCGGCGTTCACTTCACAACTGCAGCAAAGAAAAGGCCGTAACGTTGGGCGCAGTTGCGTGGTGACCCACCAAACAACCGGCCCGTAATTCTGGGCTCCATTACAGTCATAATTGAATTTTGGGCTACCTGTATAGATGCTTGTGTTGTGTTTATTCCCCTGCAGCCCCGGGGCAGCGCAACACGGAAGTCTCGGTGAGCCTCCAAGAGAATTCGGAGCAGAAGAAACGTAAGGACCCGTGGTGGGATTCAACCAGTGTAAACAACCGGTTTGGGGAGCGTGCGCTTTGCACGCAACATTTCAAAACCGCTCGTTTTCAGCTCTAATACTTATAGCCCCAGTGAGTAAAACAGCTGAGGCGTGGCCATCCGCCGTGCTGCCCGAATCCGCTGAGCTGAAAACATGGAAATAAAGGACAGACTAGGTGGGTGGTGCCAAATGATCACCAGAACAACGGGTTCTCCCATACCGATTCGAACCGGTAGAATCCCCCCTGTGGTAAGGACTGTTTCATTGCACCGGAGCTGAGCTGGTTTCAGTGGGTGGAAGGGGGAGACAACAGGAAGCGCAGTTGTGACAAGCCACTCATTTAGGAAAAGGGGGATTTTGGCCGGCCTGGGGAATCCGGTTTTAACTCAATTTCGCAGCGATGAATGCAGTTGTTCTCCGGAGTTCTGCACCTTTATTTTATTGCTTGTATGATTGTCCGCCTTTCTTCTACTTCACCCTCTTTCCTCCTCGTGTTTTGCCCGCAACAACAACCTTGTGAGGTGGCTTAGGCTGAGAGAGAGAGAAAGAGAGAGAGACTGGCCCAAAGTCACTCAGCTGGCTTTCACAATTAAGGCGGGATTAGAATTCATCATCTCCTGGTGATTGGCCCAAAGTTACTAACCTGGCTTTCATGCCTAAAGGAGGACTACAACTCACAGTCTCCTGGTGATTGGGCCAAAGTCACCCAGTTGACTTTCGTTTCTAAGGCAGAACTAGAACTCAGAGTCACCTGATGCTTGGCTCATAG